GGCCGAGCGCTCGCACCAGCGGCGCCGCGTCGAGTTTCTCAAGGTAGACAACTGCGTTCTTCGCTATCGGGCGGAGTGCGTTTTTCGGCTTTGGGATGAATTGGACAGGCTCTGGCGATTCGTCACACGCTAAAAAAGTCCCCCAATGCTCGAACGGTGCCAAAAAAAGACCCGCCCGCTGCAAGCGAAAATGACTTTCTCGATGGAGATACGCTGCTCGAGGCCGCACCAGCGGCGCCGCATCAAGATCCTTGAGGAGCAGCTGGACAGCTCGGCGGCGGAAGTCGAACACCTCAAGAAGAGGCTCGATGAGCTCGAGGACCTGGAGGGAATCTGGAAAGGGCGACTCTACAGCCCTGCGCTGGTTTGAGACGAGGGGTGGCGCGGGCGGTGGGATGAGTGGGACGTGATCAGATCTCACGGGGGTGCCGAGCCCCCGCTCCAACCCAACACAGACAAGCTCATCGATGAGTGGCGGCGCGACGTAGAGAAAAGACAAAAGGGAGCCTTGCTCGACTTCTCAAAAAAAACGCAGCCCCTCTGATGACGTCTGGGGCCTTCCGCTGCTTTTGAGTGGAGAAAGACGCTCCCAGCCTTGCGGCCGCTCTAATGGCCCAGCGGCCTTCCGACAAGCGGCCTTGCAAAGCGAGCGCTCGCACCAGCGGCGCCGCATCAAGATTCTCGAGGAGCTCTCGGCCCACTCTTTTTAATCAGTGTTTGGACCTGGAGTGCACCAACACGGTCAAGGCCACGGGCATGACGGGCACGGTGTTCCTTGTCATCATTGGCAAGGACACCAAGTTTTTGTATTTTGGGGCGGAGGCTGAAGCCCGCTTCAACGTGTCCCCAAGGCGATCACGGTGGTAGTGGCCCGCCCAGCTCCACCGGTCCCCTTAGCATGCCCGGCTTTACGGCTGTCTCTCCATGTCGGCCCTGCAGCAATCCGGAGATGGCACAGCCCGTGCCCTGCTAGGGCTGGGACCAGGCTTCAGAATTACGGTCTTGGCTGGGGCCTCTTTATGCAGATCTGCGTTCTCTGCCAAGGTGCATGATCTCAGTGCACGCACGCCTGTGGCGCGCATTCCTGTCGGCGCTGAACGCCAAAGCCGTGCTGGCATCTCCCGTGCACGGCTCGGCTCCAGGGTTTTAGAATATTAGCAAACTCCAATACGCAGCTTCTCCCCATAAATCAGCATGGGTGCGCATCGCCGACCCAGATGCCGAGCACACCCGCTTATCCAAAGCGAGCAGGGCCAACGTTGCATGGCTCTTGCAGTGCTTTCAAGCCGACTTGCATGCCCCCTGCGAAGCCAGGCAAAAACGAAAGCGAGCTTGCGGCTTGCTGTCGAAAGCGGACGTGTTGCCGCGGCCAGCCCACACGTTGTGCTCGCCTGGGATGTGGGACTAGCACTGACCATTTGTGCTTACAGGCCCACGGGCGACTAACTGCACAAAAACCTGCAAAGGCCACACAATTTGTTCACGCCTGCCTCTGAGGCTGTGTTGTCCGTGCCGGAAGGCATGCAGAAACCATGCACGGCCTGACTCTCGGCACTCCAAGCGATGCGCATGCGTGCGAGTTGGGCCAGGGTTTCGAAGCAAGCTATGTTGCGTTGGGCCTTACCAAGGAGGAAAGGCCATCATCAATGCAAGCTTTTGCTGCATCCGCCCGACGCCGGAGCATATCAGTGCTTTGCAAACGCTCTGAAGAGGGGGTGATAGACATTAGGCCGTTTGCTTGGAACCCTGAAGTGGGAGCATGCGAGAAGGCTGCGCAGTGGGGTGCAGACGTTTTTCCCCCTGCACCTCCGAGTCTTAACTTCGAAGCAACGCCTCGTTAAGAAAAAGAGCGTGCGTACCTGTTTGTTGAAGCAGTGATCAAGATTCTAACGTTTAGGGTTTTCTTTTCCCTTATGTTTTAATCTTGATCGAATCTTCGGACGCGTGGCCGTTTTCTGCTTTAAGACCTTGGTCGGGTTACCCCTCACTTTTTTGCGCCCACCCTCCCACCTTTCAACACTTAGGTGGTCCAGGGCCTAGCCGCAGCTGGCGTCCCAGCGTTGTTGTGCTTACCTTGAAACGGCACGCAGTGGCCGTCAAGTTCCACTTTGCACCGTGTGCCTTGCTGCACACTAGCGGATGCACGCTTTGCATCTTCCGGGACCCCAAAAACATAGTTCATGGCATGCCCCAGTGCGCACCAGCTGGTTGCACGCTTTGCATCCTGCTTGGCTATGTGTGCCGCGTCGCACACCAGCCGGATGCCTACAGCGGCCGCCATTAATTGCCCTCGACTGTTTCACGCCTTACAGGTAACGACCTGACACTTGAACACGCGCTGTTGACCACGGGGGCATGTGAGAAGGCTCCGCAGTGGGGTGCAGACACGGGGAAAGGACACGCGCTGTTTTTTCCCCCTGCACCTCCGAGCCTTAACTTCCAAGCACGCCTCGTTAAGAAAAAGAGCGTGCGTACCTGTTTGTCGGTCGCACCTCTTCTTTCTTTGGATGCATGTTCCCTTTCGAATTGAAGCAGTGATCAAGATTCTATCGAGGAAGGTAATGGAGGAAGGAAATAGGGGATATGAGGAGGGAAGGACGGGAAGGGCGGGAAGGAAGGGAAGGAAGCGAAGGAAGCGAAGGAAGGAAGAAAGGGGGGGGAGGGAAGGAAGGGAAGGAAGGGAAGGAAGGGAAGGAAGGGAAGAAAGGGGGGGGAGGGAAGGAAGGAAGGAAGGGGGGGGAGGGAAGGAAGGGAAGGAAGGGAAGGAAGGGAAGGAAGGGAAGGAAGGGAAGGAAGGGAAGGAAGGGAAGGAAGGGAAGGAAGGGAAGGAAGGGAAGGAAGGGAAGGAAGGGAAGGAAGGGAAGGAAGGGAAGGAAGGGAAGGAAGGGAAGGAAGGGAAGGAAGGGAAGGAAGGAAGGAAGGAAGGAAGGAAGGAAGGAAGGAAGGAAAGGAAGGAAGGAAGGGGAAGGAAGGGAAGGGAAGGGAGTGAAGGAAGGAAGGAAGGAAGGAAGGAAGGGAGGGAAAGGAAGGAAGGAAGGAAGGAAGGAAGGAAGGAAGGAAGGAAGGGAGGAAGGGAGGAAGGGAGGAAGGGAAGGAAGGGAAGGAAGGGAAGGAAGGGAAGGAAGGGAAGGAAGGGAAGGAAGGGAAGGAAGGGAAGGAAGGGAAGGAAGGGAAGGAAGGGAAGGAAAAGGAAGGGAAGGAAGGGAAGGAAGGGAAGGAAGACGGAAGGGAAGGAAGACGGAAGGGAAGGAAGACGGAAGGGAAGGAAGGAAGGGAAGGAAGGAAGGGAAGGGAAGAAGGGAAGGAAGAAGGGAAGGAAGAAGGGAAGGAAGAAGGGAAGGAAGAAGGGAAGGAAGAAGGGAAGGAAGAAGGGAAGGAAGAAGGGAAGGAAGAAGGGAAGGAAGAAGGGAAGGAAGAAGGGAAGGAAGAAGGGAAGGAAGAAGGGAAGGAAGAAGGGAAGGAAGAAGGGAAGGAAGAAGGGAAGGAAGAAGGGAAGGAAGAAGGGAAGGAAGAAGGGAAGGAAGAAGGGAAGGAAGAAGGGAAGGAACAAGGGAAGGAAGAAGGGAAGGAAGAAGGGAAGGAAGAAGGGAAGGAAGAAGGGAAGGAAGAAGGGAAGGAAGAAGGGAAGGAAGAAGGGAAGGAGGAAGGGAAGGAAGGGAAGGAAGGGAAGGAAGGGAAGGAAGGGAAGGGAAGGAAGGGAAGGAAGGGAAGGAAGGGAAGGAAGGGAAGGAAGGGAAGGAAGGGAAGGAAGGGAAGGAAGGGAAGGAAGGGAAGGAAGGGAAGGAAGGAAGGGAGACAACAACAGAAATTAAAACACATACACAAAGAAATAAAGAAGACAGGAAAGGCAAGGCAAGGAAAGGAAAGTCAGGATAGGAAAGGAGCGGAAAGGAGAGGAGAGGAGAGGAGAGGAGGGGAGAGGAGGGGACAGTGGAAAGAAGGAAGGAAGGAAGGAAGGAAGGAAGGAAGGGGGGAAGGAAAGGAAGGAAGGAAGGAAGGAAGGAAGGAAGGAAGGAAGGAAGGAAGGAAGGAAGGAAGGAAGGAAGGAAGGAAGGAAGGAAGGAAGGAAGGAAGGAAGGAAGGAAGGAAGGAAGGAAGGAAGGAAGGAAGGAAGGAAGGAAGACGAGGAAGAAAACATATGAAATATAGAAAGGAAGGAAGGAAGAAAGAACGAAAACAAATATAAAATAACGGGATGCGACGAAAAGATACAATGAAACGGACGTTGGCCGCGATGTGGTGAATATTTAGTTGGGATTATGCAAAGGCAGACAGGTTCTGAGCCACTGTAGGGCGTGGCCTGAACCTGGCCGCACTTCTGATGTAGACCATGTGAACCGCGGCGCTGGTCAGGCCATACGTTCAGCCACAGCTAAGCCGAATTGCCTGACCCACACTTGTTCGTTAGGCATCTCAGGTCTTCTTGCGATTTCAATGATGCGTGATGCTGCGTGAACGAGACGCCCTGATGAGTCCATCAAAGCCGGCGGTGGGAAGTTTCGAACGTGTAACAACTATAGGTGTCTTTCTCTTCTTTTCTTCTCTCTTTTTGTTTCGTTCATTTTGCAGCTTGTAGACGCCTGAACCCATTCGCGGGGAGTTGTCCTGCAGCACGTCAATCAGTGGGCAGTGGCGTCAACCACAACCACTTTCTCCACTTGGTTTGCGCATGGCATCCTCCAGGTTTCTTTTCATGCGCTGTAGCACTCGCTTGCCCGGTCGCCGCAACCCACTCTAAAGTGGGGGAACTTAGCTGAGGCCGGGTTGAACGTGCTGGCCACTCAAGAGGGGGTTGACAGAGCCTTCTCTGGCCGCAGAAAGAAACATGCGTTCGTGTGTGGCTGCCAAGAGTTAAGGAATGTCATGATTGGAACAACCTGCATTTTGTTACTAACAGGTGGTTCAATGTAACTTTTTCCCCAAATTTTTTCACTGCGCAGAAAGATGCCAGGTTGCAGCCCCGCACGGCAAGTAAGTTGCCAAGTCGCTTTGGCAAGTGTGTTGATTTGATTCGTTTTCTTTTTTAGTCCGATCCTGTTTTGCGCTTTGCGCCTGAATGCAGCCCCGGGCTCACACTTTACGATTCATTACCGCTGCCGCATGGAGCATTGTCCATGCTTCGAATACTCCTCGTGTCCTTTGCGGCACTCTGGGCAGATGGTGCCGCTGAGGCCGGCTCCGGTGGCCTGTAGGGGTCAGTCTTCTTCACGACTGCTTTGTGGTCACTTAGGACAGAACTCCAATGCATGGGGCCAGCTGCACAAAGGCAAACATATTCTTGCCCGTTGTTCGTGCGCGGAGGCACGCGCAACATGTTGAAACACGATGAAGCGCTCTCAGCTTGTGCCTCGTTATTTTGTTTGTCGTGGTCATCGTCGGGGTTGGTGGTGGTGGTGGTGGTGGTTTGTTGTTGTTTGCTTGCTTGCTTGCCTTGCCTTGCCTTGCCTTGCCTTGCCTTGCCTTGCCTTGCCTTGCCTTGCCTTGCGTTGCCTTGCCTTGCCTTGCCTTGCCTTCCTTGCCTTGCTTTGCCTTGCCTTGCTTGCTTTCTTGTTTGTTTGCTTGGTTGTTTGGTTGGTTGGTTGTTTGTTTGTTGTCATCATGGTATGCTTGGTGAGCTTGCCGCACCATGCCCAAGTGTCGGCGGACATACTTTGGGAGTCTCGGACCTGCTTTGGGTCTGTCTTCTTTTTTGGGTACCCCTTTCTGGTTGGCTTTAGTGGGAAACCAAAAGGAAAATCAACCATTTTGGGGGTCCCCTAACAAACACAGACCCATATTTTGCGTGGGGCCCCTCACAAGGTTGAACCTCCTAGCTTGGCATGTGGCACCCCGGCCACTCGAACTGCCCTTTCGCAGTTGCATGTGACTTGTCTTTGGACAGAGCCCCCAGAAGGTGTTTTTTTTTCAGAGGGGATGGTTTTGGGTTCCATGTACCAGACACGAAGATCTCCTGGCTGCCGGGAGGCAAGGGTGTTTCTCTCGAATGCACAGGCCGCATGCTCGAGGGCGCTGCTGCAACAGAAGACGGGCCTCGACCAGCTGAACGTCATCGAAGATGTCAAGGAGGGGGAACGCATGGAGTGGATTCCAAGAAACCGAAGTTGATACTGCGGATGGACAAAATCCGTTCGCACCACTTTGAGCCCATGGGAAGTCATTGTTTGTTGGTATTTACAGGCGAACCATCCTAGGCTCTCTTAGGTGGTGCGAAATGGATTTTGTCCATCCACAGATAGTGCTCGTATGGGTGTTGTTTGACAGAGGTGGGGGGTCCAAAAGTCCACCAATTGGAGACAAGCCCGTGGCCCAAATCATATGACAGTCTGACTGCGGTTCGTTGAAAGTTCAGAACATCTACATCTTTGATCTGGTGGGGAAATTTGTCAGGCTTGGCAAGTTTTTTTCCACAAGGAGGCCGAAGTGCCTTTTCTTCTTGCTGGTGCTCAGCGGGGAATGAGAAATGGAATGACTCCCATAAACCCTTGTTTGTGGTTTCCTTGAAGGCGACCCCAAAACGGTTCATTCCAGTTCTCATTCCCTCGCACCGATCGCAAGTTTGCTCGTTGGCCTATGGTGTGCTGCACCGCCCATAAAACCCGGGTCTCGAGTTGGCTGGATCCCAGGCCACAAAAAGGCCAAGTGCCAGGTGTCGAAGAGGGTAAGATCCTGCCGAAACTTGGGGGACCCAAACACCATACTTTTTTGGGAAGACGCAGATTTGGGTGTCTTTGGACGGCAAAAAAATCGCTTTGGCTTCCCTTTAAACCAACAAACAGGGTTTGCCTCTGCTTGGGGGGCTGGTAGGGCAGTTTCGCAAGCTCCAGCAGATGACCTTTCCGGGTTTTGGGAATGCCTCTGTGGATTCGCTAGGAAGCCGATTCCATAGGAGTGATGGTGTTTGGTGAGGATCATACAGTACTGTGGATGGACACAGTTGGCAGATTTTGTCATACTCGTTTTCCAAACTTCGAGACAAAGATTTCTCCTCATCCGCTATGCCGATTTCTGAAGATTGGAAGCTGTGGACTCCGATTTTGGTGGGACTCCGATTGAAGCCTCCGGCGCGAAGTATAGTAATATAACTGGTTTTATTTCATTAGTCCCTCTTATTGTACCGTTTATTGGTGGTTTGTTATCAAGTGACCCGCTCACAAAGTGAGTCCGCCAGCGATCGGTATCCACGCAACGGGGGAGGATATTTCGCGAGGGGCCTGGCCACGTGCCCCTTGATGGTCTGGGTTTGGACATCGGACCCTCGAACATGGCGCTGCAGTTCTTCTTGTGGTTTCCCTTTTTACCCAGAGCCTCCAAAAGTGGAAACACCACCCGAATGAACAGGAAGAGTTCGGGCCCCAACGGTTGCTACCGGGGCCTCACCGGGAGTTTGGAGAGGGAGCCCGGTTTCCGTGACAAATGGGTGTTTTTGTTTGTGTTGTTGGACCCACTTTGGGGTGGTGTTGAAGGGAAATCGAAGGAAGACCACCAGTCTTTTTTTGGGACATGCAAATGCCAGAGTCCCAGTCCAGGGGGAGTCTGTTGTATTTTGACAGCCTTCCCTTTTCAACAACTTGCTTTTTTGGGGAAAATGCGAATGGTTCCAACCTCTTGGTGGGATTTGGGGTTCCTCCAAGTTCCCTAAGTGGACCTTTTCTCAGTCCGCAGGCGGGCTCCGGCAGGGCCGCAAGTGACGCGGCTTGCCGGACTCTGGTGGTGCATGTGGGCCCCTGGAAAACGGGAACGACCTCGCTGCAGAGCTTTCTGGTCAAGGAAGCCAAGTGGCTGGAGCAAGAGCTCGACGTGCTGGTTGCACTGAAGGGGGATGAGAAAAGCAACGCATACTTGCCTTTCACGATCCTGCGTAAGACTGGGCAGCTGAACCAGTCAGACTGCCCGCATTGTGTGGATGATGCAGTTTTCGCATCAAGAGTGGAACACATCGCATCGCTGTTGTCAAGGCCGTCAGCAGGTGTTATTCTGTCCGCGGAGGATTTAAGCCTTCTGAGTGGCAAGGAATGGGCAATGTTCAAAGACTTATTTGCAAATACTTCAGTTTGCACCCGGTTCTTGCCGGTGGTATCAATGCGCAGTCCAACGTCCTGGTATCAATCCTTGTGGATCGAGTACAACAAGCTGGGAGTGCCCCAAAGCTTCATGCAGTTTTTGAGCTCTTTCCGGTTTGGTGGCCGGTCCAGGGACGAGTTCGGAGACGCGGATACTCAGCTGGCGGTCCTGAATCAGTTGCAGCTGGCCTTCGGGCCCCCGGTCGCAGCCTCCTATGATCAGCTCCTGGAGCAAAACGTCAGCACCGCCGCCTTCCTGATCTGCAACGCGACGCTGGGTCGCCAAGGTGAGGCCTGGGAGCGGTGCAGGGATGCCCTCGCCTCCAAAGCGCTCAGCGTGGAGAATGTGTCGCCGCCTCCGGCGGCCCTGGACGTGGTGCGCCTGGCCTTTAACCTCTACAACAGTCGCCAAAGGCCCTGCAACGCCAGCTTCGGACTTCGAGCGACGCAGGTGCCCGTGATCGAAGTGGCGGCGCAGATGCCGCTCCTCTGCGGCAGCTTGGACGCCTTCTTCGTACCTGAGCTGGACAAGTGGTACCAAGAGACGAAAGCGCAAGCACCGTCAGGGCGGGGCACCGTCCATTGTTCCGTGGACGAGCGGGCCATGACGCCAAGCCACTGGCGCAGTATCCGGGACCTTGTGCCGTGCACAGGGGACAAGACTAAGACTCACGAGGATTCATAGTGCTGCCGGCGTTTTAAGCCTATATAATCCAGTGTAAGCTGACGGCTTTTTTGTGTCAGCATGTGGCACGCGTGCGAGGACAAATGCGACACAGGGCTTGAGGTTGATTTCAGAGCGCTGACAAGTTCAAGTTTTCCGAAGGTGTATTTTTTCCGCCCATGAAAACCTTGAGGCAGGAACAGTTGCAGTGGTTGTGTTAGATGAGCACGCTGCATCAGAACACAAGCACGACTTGAGCACCCCAACTCAGACAGGTCCACGTCGTTTTAGGGTATTGGTTTAACTTACGGCGACCTGCCGCCAGGACCGTGAAGTTGGGTGCAAAAGTGCCTTGCATTTGGGCACATTTGCGGCCAGCTATCACCAAACCGGTGGTTTGGGACTTGACATTGACAAGCAACGGTGCAGGGGTCCCGGGTGCGTCATTTCCAGTTGTTGCGGCTGTTTACAGAGTCATTGCGCGAGTCCTACGCCTCGACCAGCTCAGTACTTGGAGCGCCTTGTCCTCTTACGGCTGTGTGTTTTGATTGGAGGGGACCAGAAACCAAAAGGAAAACCACCATTTGGGGGCCCCGTATTTTTGAGACAGCCTTGTGACTGGCGCTTGCCGCGGCTTTTTTTCTGGGTTCTGGATGTGCAGTCTGAGGGCTTTGGTGGCTATCACCTGAACATTTGTCTTTCCTTCCCATGTTCCGTTTCGGACACATGCCCATAATGACCAATCCTCACCTGCGTTCATTCCTGGGCTGATAGCGTGAGGGTTCCTGCAAGTAAATTGTAAATCAGGACTTGCACGACGGGATGACAGCCAAATCTCTTCAATCATCAGGAAAACTCAGTCATTTTTCCACATCCATGAAATTCTCTGCTTCTGTTTATTTTCTTGGCGTCCAGCGGGTCTTGTTTGCGTCAAAGCACGTCCGAAGTACAGGCGGCACAAATCGCCCGCGGGCCCCAAGAATCGAAGGGGATGCTTCAAAAAAGAAACTCCCCAAGTCTAAATCAGCAACTTGTCACCTGCGCTAGGCGAGTACCCTGGGGGCACCTCACCCAAATCACGATTGAATCGGACGTGGAGGTTACTTACCACACTTACCAGCAGACTGTTGTCCCCTGCTTCATTTGGGAAGACAGGCTCGCAAAATTTCCAGCAAAGCACTACTTAGATGGTCTTGGAGTTAGCTAAGTGGCCAGTAAGGGGGATCTGCAGCCCTGCCAAGTGGTTTGCAACCAGGGTTACTAGGCATGTAGCTAACTCCTCCCAGACCATCCAAGTAGGGGACTCCCTGGATTTCTTTCCAAATTTTTTGACTACAATAGGGTCCAGCACTAGGTGCTGCACAAACGCCTCTGTTTCAGCTATGTGTTTTCCAAGAAACAAACCGGGGTGGGGATGGTCACGGACTCCCTCGATTCTCTACGTCCTTATGGCCTTGCTGCAGGTCATGGCTCGCCGCGCCGTGCTGCCGCTGGCACTCCTGGCCCTCTTCTTGGCCCCGGCTTTCGTGCCAGCCGCCCCCAGGAGGGGCGGACCAAACCACTGGCCCAGGGGAAAACGAGATATGGCTGTGGTGGTCAAAACCAATGGGGATCCCATTCTGGTTGGTCGATGTTTGAAAGGGCGTGGCTCAAAAAGAAACAGGAGGGGCAAACCGCAGGTTTTCCACTTGCCAAGGTTCCAGTTTGGTACCACAGCCAATTGAAAGTCCCAGATGCGTTCCACGCCCCCCAACCACTGCCCCCTGGGGAAAACGAGATGTGGGGCATGGGTGTGTTTTTGGAGGGAGCTTGTGGGAAACACAAGGGAACACCTTGTGGGTCTCCTAATTCAAAAACAAGTGCATGGGTATGGGTATGTGCAATATACCCATCACATAGTTGTATACTGGCTGTGGCTCAAGAACATGTACCAAAGTTGCACCTTGGTATATGGAGAAAAAGACCAACACCTGCGTAATCCCAGCTGTTTAATTTTGAGCCACACCCAATACTGGCTGTAAATCCCATTGACGCCCACTCGTTTCAAGGGGAATGGTGAGGACCGCGCCCGATGCACCGGGCGCCGTGTCGGCCGCCGCGGCGGGTGCTGTGCCGCTGCTGCTGATGGCGGAGCCGGCCATGGCGGAGGCGTGTTTTTGGGCCTAACACAGAACCTGCAAGTTGTTTTTCAATTCCACTTCGGAACCCGTCCAAATTTTAAGGCCTCCGGCTCAGACCGCCGACAGTACAGGCCTGTTTCCCCTCCCTAAGATCTATTCCCCTTCCCCCCCTAAGATCTGTTCCCTCATTTCTCTCCCCCCTGAAAAAAAAGGGCACAAAGGGTCGATCTTAAAGGAAAAGAGGGGAAACGGTCTTAGTGGGGAAAAGGTGGAAAAAAACTTAGGGGTGAAAGGGAGGAGATCTGGGGGAAAGAACGACAAACTTTTTGATTCGCTTCAGATATTCGGGACAGGGGTCTCTCAGCATTCGAAGGCGGAAGCGGAAACGGGATCAAGAGACGGGCATGTTTTGTGGTGGACCCGAAATGGTGGACATCACTTGAGGATTTATGTCCACCATGTTCATGTTGAAGGGGTTCCCCATGATTCACTGCCACACGGCTCTCTGTGTTCCCGCCTCTTGACGTCGCCTCTTTTGCTTGAGGCTGCAAGCCCGTGTAGGGGCTGTTTCGAGGACGCCAAGCAAGACTCCCTCACGAAATGAGCCCCCTCCTACCATGTCTGGACTTTCATGGACAATCTTGGGGAACCCCGCAAGACGTGGTTTCCAACTTTGATGTGAGCAATGTGGGCTTTTGCCTCGACCCAAGCCTTGGACCCAATATCGGCTGGTTGAGGGACATCCCCTGCAGTGGGGTGAAGGGAAGCCACAAGGGACCAAAACGGAGCAAAAGGGACCAGGGCTCAAAAGGACCGAAGCTTTAGATTTTGTTTTGGATAAACCACAAGTGATGCGGAGGGCAACCAACACAATTCATTGGTAGCATTCAGAAATCCAAGACACAGTCAATGAGAAAGGGGCACATAAAGGGACCAAACTGGACCATAATTTCTTGGGTCTAGCAAAGTTTTGAATTGTTCTTTTGGATGACAAGCCAGAACAGTTTTGATCTGCCAGTTTTGTTTGGATCGACCTTTTTACTTTTTTTTGGGTTTTGAAGGACAACAAGAAGGGAGACCACCATGTTTGGGGTTTTCCAAACAAAGACACGGCCACATCGACATCCGCCAGGACTACATGATGCCTCCCAGCTGGCCCTTCGTCTTGGTCTTCGTGGCCGCTGCCAGCGCCCTGCTGGTGGTGGGGAACTTCATCTTCCCAGGCGCCGGTTGTCAAGACGGCCGTGGACCTTAGAGGTTTGGGCACTTTGGTCACTTTCGATCGGTCACTTTGCTTAGAACAAAACTTTCAATTATTCTGGTCCCCCTAAACAATGGGTGCGAACCAGAATAAGGAAAACCACTTGCAATTATTGACGCCCGGTTGATTAATCAAGTGCCAACATTAGATGGGTTCCACTGGTTTAGATTGGTTTTCATCCATTTGGGACTTGGAGCGTTGTTTGGACTTCAGGCTTGAGGTTAGAAGGATTTCTGACATCCACTTTTCTGAGGCCAACATGACGAAGCCAGAAGCTTGCAGCCGAATCTGAAGATAGCTTGGGTGTACCAAGGAGTTGGGACAAGCACTGGACTTATAGATAAACAAGATCTGATGTAAAGGAATGACATTACACTCACCGAACGGGAAAAAAGGACATGGGGGCCACGAAGCAAATTCCCATGTCAAAGGGAGAGACAATGGTTAATGACCGTGGCTCACATTTGAGTGCACGTTATTTCTGGTTTCAATATGGCGTCAGCCGCCCACATCTTGCCACCAGAAAAGAGATACATGCCTTCCGACCCACGAATCAATGAAGGAAATCTGGTTTGAAAGGGGGTTGCTCGTGAACGAGCAACTCTCATGATTAGGGAGGGGCAAGAACCACTGCTGTTATGCTCCAGTCCAGACGATGGACCAAAGGTCATTATGAACATTTGGCTTGTCCAGGGATGGAACGCATAGCCGGGATCCATGAAACCCATGAATGTAACTGCCCGCACAGACCATCGGATGCACCCCCTGCACGCTCCCAACCCAATTTTGCGCCACAATCAAAAGACCAGTTTCTTTTCTACGCGGCAGTAAGGATGCTCAGTAACTGTCACTAAAATGACTCCTATTCTTCGGGAATCATGACCCAATCGGCCAAAGAAACGGAGTTTTGACCGCATTTGTTCGTCGCTCTCGCCAGGCAAGAGGTGAGCGAGATTGATCCGGTGACTCGGCTTTTGAGATATTTTTCTCGGATCGCGCGTTTCGCCCGTCTCGGATCCATCCGGGTGATGGGCGATGTGGCACGCACGCGATGCCGTATGGACAAAAAAGAGTCCTGCTCGGAGCTGTGGTGGTTTTTTAGGAGTATTAAAACAAGGAACCCATTCCAGGCGGTCGGTTGCATCAGTTTCAATTGTTTTTCTTTTGGATCGGAACGGGCTCTGGTTTGGGGACGCGCATCTTTCGGCTTCCTGTTTGGTGGGCGGCGTGCACAGGCTCTGTATGCCGCGAGGTATTGCTGAGTAGCCGCTGCCCACGGCTCGGTGCCTCGCTTGGATCAAGGATAGAACATACTTCAAAAAGGAGATGCGCAGACCGATCTCTGTCAAAGCCATCACCTACTTCTGACTGAACGCACACGCACACAAACAAACCAAGCACAAAACAAGCACACCACAAGCCGCCGCTCAAGTGCAACATTTTCACGCCGAGCATTGAGAGGCAGCTGCGGCCTTTGGAGACATGATGTAAACTCGACGCAACTTCTCGACCAGGCACCGTCTTGAACACTGCCTGTTCACGTCCCCTCAATTGGTGGTCTGGGGATTTGAACCTTTGGTTCTTGTCGAGCGTACATGGGCAGCTATCCCTGACTTTCATTCCACCAAACTAAACCCCCAACTTTGGGGGAAGCGGCCATTTCTGAGGCCCTGGTAGTGATATTTCCATGCATTTTGCCGGCCTGGAACAGTTTTCTTTTCGGTTTGAGGGCCAGGCGCAGACATCTGTGGATAATCACCGAGGACATGAGCAGCCTTTTGCCGCACGCTTTCTGTGCCAAGGGAATTCCCATAGGTGACGAAGTCTTCATGGGCATGTACTGCGGCATCACAGAAGGGTCTTATTTTTCAAAGCCACAGACAATTGTTTTTCTTTGCTGGCAGTAAATGACTTGGAAACTCCTTCCCCAGAGACTCCTTTGCTTGGGGCCTGTTCGCCAGGGCCGAAAGGGCCGACGGCCCCGATGCTGACCCAGTTGAACCGGTGGATCAGCGGGAACGCCTCAGGCGCTGGCGCGCTTCACCCAGGTTGTCGAAGCCATCGCTGGTTTTTGGATAGAGGGCTGGGGTGTGTCAAAAGCACAAAGCCACAAGACAGCATGGCAAACGAAGAAGTCCTAAGGCATGTCTTGATTGGTTCTTGAACAAACAACACGTCTTGTGGCAATCAATCGAGAAGATCCTACAATAATCCTAAATCGGCTCGCTTCGCGGTTTACTGGATGAGGTTTGTGAATCTGAGTTTGGATTCAGGACATCAGACAGGCAACCTACTTTTGGTGTCTTGAAATGCGTGGAACCGAGGGCTGCTGTTGATGTCCTTCCAAGTTCAATTGACATTTTTTGCCTTTGGTTGAAGACGGCAAAGATGTCAAATGGCCACCCCACTTCATGGCAACGACCGTGCTTTCATGTGGATGCCTGGTTAGGAATCTGCAGAATCCAACAACTCGGCAAAGACAAACACACATTTAGCAATCCGCTTCCCTTTTGGGGGGAGAACTTTGCAGCAATTCTTCGACCCTTATCTTCGAATTTCATCAAAAGTTCAAGCAGTGATTGACACGAGGTCTGGCATGTCTCAACTGAAACATTCACGAGTAAATCTGAGAGAATCAATTCATCTTCTGCCAAGGCCTTTCTATTGGCCTGTCTTTGTGCAAACCTTGACGTTGTAGTCTTTCCAGGTTAGCATCAGGCAGCAGACCTTCCGACCAACCAGCCGGCCAACCAAGCAACCACGAAACCAAGCAACCAACCAACCAACCAACCAGCAAGCCAGCCAGCCAGCCAACCAATCAAACCAACCGACCAACCATTCGACCGACCGACCGACCAACCAACTGGCCAACCAGCAGGCCAACTGACAGAGCAGCACAGCGACCGAGAAGCGAGCCAGCCAACCAGCCAAACAACCAACCACCCAACCAACGAACAGACCAGCCGACTGACAGACCAACCAACCAGCAGACCAACCAGCAAACGAACCGACAGACAGCAAAGAATTCAATCCAACCTGCCAGCCAGACAGGCAGGCATGCAGCCAGCTAGCCAGCTAGCAGCCACCAGCCACCCAGCCGGCCAGCAGCCAGCCAGCCAGCCAGCCAGCCAGCCAGCCAGCCAGCCAACCAACCAACCAACTGACCGACCGACCCCCCAGACCAACCGGCCAACCAACCAGCCAACAAGCAATCCAAGGAAGCAAGCCAGCAAGCAAGCAAGCAAGCCAGCCAGCCAGCCAGCCAGCCAGCCAGCAAGCACGCACGCACGCACGCAGGCAGGCAGGCAGGCAGGCAGGCAAGCAAGCAAGCAAGCAAGCAATTAAGCAATTAAGCAATTTTGAAATTCAGCAATACAGCAATCCAGCAATTCAGCAACTAAGCAATCTTGGCGGTTAAGCAACCAACCAACCACACAGACCCACCAACCAGGCAAAGAAACGTCACCGCAAGCGATTTTTCATTTGGGGCGCTTCCTGTCGGCCTTTCGGTCGCAGGAGGCTGCGAGGAGCAGAAGCTGCGCGAGATCTCCCTGGAGTACCAGGAGGCGAGAAACCCTGGCGGAGTGGCAGGTGGCGGCGACTGACGATCTGGCGCCAGGGGTTGGCTCAAAGTTCTAGGAGTGCAAGGGCTTCAATTCGGGTCATGTAAACCTAGGGTTGGCTCAAATGTGCCTAAATGGGGGTCAATACCCAGTGGGTGTATTCCCAGGGAATACAAAAACCCTTAGATTTCAACCCGAAGGATGCCAACCTAAGAATCTAGGAGTACCTTCCATGTCCATTCTTTCCAGGGATCTGAGAATCTTTCTAGCAAATCCAGGGAAAACTGATCCGGTTTTTGAAAAGAACGATGGTTGAAAAGAATGGAAAAGGAATCAATCCTTAGAGCAAGGGCTAAACACAACAAATAAACACAACGACCATAGGTGGCCCTTTTTTGGTTGTTTTGATCGAACAACGATGGCGATTCCCCTGGGTTTACCTGGTGGTTTAATCATCTACCAAGGAAACCCATCTATTTGCCCAAAAAGGACACCTATGTGGTTCACTTTGCCCGTTGCCAAAGTGGAAGAAAGCTGAGGTTGGGCTTCTTTTTTCGGGACACAGGGACCCCCCCCCCTCCGGGTTTTTTTCCTCCTGTTTTCCTCCAACGGCGAAAAAACGGGGTGCCGAGCCTCCAAAGAAGGCGAGCCTCCCATTGACGGGGCGGAGCTCACTAAATTTCAACCAAAACCGGGGACTTAGCCACTGGCTAGGTTTTCACGGCTCACTGGTCCAAACCATCTAAGCCAGGTTGCCTTGATTTGCCTTGACAGGAAAAAAAACAGCGGAGAGAACACATGAAGTGTTTTTATGCGTGTTTTTGGGTTTGACTCAAAGTTGTTGCTTCCGTTTGGCTTCCATTTCAACCAAAGCGTAGTCTCCCCTTTGGTTTTCCCTTGAGACTGATCCAAAAAGGACATCAAAAAGAGCAAACACATGAGACACCCATTTACGCCCTTGAACATAAAATAAGGGGTCAGACTTAAACCTCGTACCAATATGAGGCAGTGTTTTTGTTAGATTTGGTACTCATTTCGGGTTGGTTTACGGAAACTAACAAGGAGGCACAACATTATTTTGGGGGTTGACTTGACGCATGCCTTCCGGAGCCCACCCGGCGATGGTTTTTGTTTCTCGCAGGCCGAGTTGGTGAGCGCCACTCAGAATTTCGACCCGCCCGGAGCCCTGCGTTCGGATAGCTGGGAAACGGAGGGGGGAGGGCACTGGGGGTATGACATTTTTGCTGGAAGCTCGCCGGAGGCTTACACGAGCTTATCATGATGTAGGTTTTCTTCTGGGATACAATTCTTATTTCAGGCTTTCCAATCAGAACAGTACATCATGCAGACCTCGCACTTGCCCTTGAGAACGTAGGGGGGGGTGGAAGAACTTGTTTCTTGGGCGTTCCCTTGGTTTTTCTCCCATACGGAACTCTCAGAATGGCTGATTTCCATTTGTCTCACAAACCCCGAGATGCCACGTGACTCCCGGCGTAAATTCAAACTGAGTGCCTTTGGGACATGGAAAGTTGGGTTTCAGGTTGCCATGTTCTGTGAATGGCCCTTTCAGCCGTACAATAATAAGATGTTGGGATGGGAATCCCGAAAAGCCATTGCCCGCCTGATTGGGTTTTAGGTTTGTTGCCCTCTTGAACAGGGTTGTGGGAAATGACCACTTCTCTGATACAACAAAAAGGGCTTCCCAAAGACTAAGACCCCATATACAGGGGGAGATTCCCTTGTATCACAGAAGTGGGGGAAACATCCCGAGTGATCCCACAACCCTGATCTTGAACGTTGCTCATGGAAGTGGAGATCTTCCATGAGCACGTTGGAGGGAGGGTAGGTGGTCGCGCTTTCCGTTGCCACTTCCAGCCGGGGACTCTGGGTGCGTTCTGAGGTGCCGGCGACTCGGCCGGCGGCTCGGGTGTGGACCGGTGACGAGACGAAGTGGCTTGCGACATGCGCGCGGCGGTTTTGGGGGGCAAAGAGAGTCTTTGGTTTCAACTCTTCGGGGTGGTCTTCTCGTTCTGAGGTTTCATTTGCAACATATTGAGAGTTTTACGGGCTTCAGGGCTCAGACACGTGCTTCTTGTCCCTTCAATTACATTTTTTGTTTGAGGTGGGAGGCTGTTGGCTGTTCGGAAATCAAGAAGATCAGCCGGGATGGTTCGTCATCTGGTTGGATGAGAGAAAAAACAGCCCGGGGGCAAGAACGAGCCCTTGCTTGCGTTTGGCAGCTTCCCAGTTGCAATCATATTCTCATCAAGATTGTCTTCTAGATTGGTTGCTTTTGTTTGGGCATTGTTATTGACTGGCTTCTCGTGCCAGTTTCTCCTCCCCCAATCTATCGCCTGCAGGTTCAGGCAACTACGGTTGCGTGTACCGAGCCACCTTGAAGGACGGCCATGAGGACGGATCCTGGGTGGTGGCAAGCATTGTCAAGCATCACAGAAAGCCATGGTCGATTGGAAGCAACACTCGTGCACGTTCTGAGAATC